AATGAAAACACGTTTCACGCGTCCTTAGCAGGGCGATTATATAAATTACATAACCGTCATTAAATATATCGTTGACACAATATTACTTCAATTTATAATATTATTAAACTTGATCGTATTTTATGACGTGTACACGACGCACATATCGACCGTTTGTTTTTAGTTGTTATAGGGTGGGTCCCCACTCAGACCTCAAAAGCCAATTGTGAATTATCGTAACATTTATTTAGAAACTAGACAGGGCGAATTCTCATTTTATACAGGTAATATATAAATAATAATAGGTACATCATTTTTGTTAATAGTCATTTGATCAGTATCTATTACCAGTTGCACATATTTTGTATTTTTATCTACATTTAGGTACTTTAGGTATATTATACATACAGAAAAGTGTTAAAAATAATTTACTTATTAGATATCTATTTTTATTTTGGTACAAGATACGGCTTTAAGCCCCGTCCACAGTTCCACACCAAAGAAAATTTTGTCGGAAACAAGTGTTTCCAACATTGTCATCGACAATGTTTCCGATTTCCCCTCATAAGCGGTAACATAAATATTTGTCGACGACCATGTCAGAAACATATGTTTCCTACAAATGTTTCTTGGTCTGGACCGGGCTTTAGATAGAATGGTTGCACATCGGGCTATACCTCGCAATGTTAGACCCCGGTGCACGAGAGTTCTTATCTAAAATACGAAAAAGTGAACTACTATTAACGCTCCCCGCGGTTGTTAATTGGAATTACAATATTATAATATTCGCATTTCCCATATTCGCATAAGAATACAATATTGAGTATGTTATGTAAGCAACTAGATAGCGCTGTAACGTAACTTTTAACAGATTTTTGATAAGAACAATTATTAGTGATCACAAAATAATGACCCGTTGTGCAACCATTCTATCTAAAGCCGTGGTACGAGACGGAATTGCCGTCACAATCACACTCGACTACGGCAAACGATCAATTAATAATTAAAAACGAAAATTATATAAGTACCTATGGTTTTTTTTAAACAACTTATGTTTTTAATACTTTTTTATATTTATAACATAAAGTAATTATTAAACTTTTTGGTTTGGCCAAAAAGTGAATCAGCCGAAAAGGGAAGGTTACGATTTTTTAAGGGGTTTCACCCTATATTATAGGGTGGGAATTAACTTAGAACAACAAAGATCGTTTTCTAGATATCTAATTTAACTTTAAAATTAAATGATAAATAGACTTTTTTAAATTTAAAGAAAATATTTGAGATTGTTCACATGCAGAACGTCAAATTTAAGTTAATAAATCCATACAGTTTTAGATGAATAAAATGAGAGATAAGAACAATTTTTGTGCCCATTTGGATAATTTATCAAGTAAAATACTGAAGAGCAATGTTTTAACTTTTGGAATCGCGTCGTGTTCATGGTTATTTTTTTAAAAGAGTACGCGATTCGTATCTTAAATGGAAGATTTATTATCTGAAATACACGGCTACTATAATAATAATAATAATAATATTAATAAATATTATTATTATTATTATTATACATTTATACCTATAGTTACTATATATGACGATTATGCGGCGTAAGTTTCGAATGCCGAAAAACCGGTTGAATTTAGGAACGAACGCCACGTAAAAATTTCACATCAATAATTTATTAATGTAATATTATATTATAATATATATATATATATATATATATATATATATATATTACTATATATGTGTGTTTATAAAATAATAATATACTAACCCCGTATCCAGTGACTGGACCGATACCATGACTAGCTAAGTATGATTCTGCGGTGTACTCACGCCCAGTATATCTAAAAACGCATTCGTTAAAAACAAAATAATACAAAATTAGTTATTGAATTACACGTCCGTAACAGGTATGGTATGTATATGGTTAAATGCAGGTTTATGATTTTTTTAAACAAACGGAATGGGTTTGTACTATTTAAAATTCAGCAATCCTAACCTAACACTAATCGAAATCATAAAATAAAAAACCAAACGAAATAAATATTTTCTTTCAAGTGACTTCTCACCCTTAAATTATAATCGTAATAGATAAAAATATGATATCAGTTGGAAAAATAATTAATCAATTGGAATAAAACAAAACAAACAAATAATATGTATAACAAACCAAAATTCACACAACACGTAAAAATGCAGAAGTTACATCGAACAAAAATAACTGCACAAAACACAAATAAATATTTTATCTAAAAAGAATGAACAAATAATATTTATATATATATATTATATAAGCTATACAAAGCCAAAATATAGAACGAATAAACACAAAATAAAAAGCTTTTAGTTTTTACACTACGATACAAGAAAAATATGTACTTGCATGCAGTTTTCTTTTACTCATCGCTAACTAACTAAATATACAATTCCATCGTCTTGGTCAGTTAAACGTTTCTATACATTTATATTATATATATATTATATAATACTATATTATTATAACGCATGTAAGACGTATTTTTTTTGTTATTATTCGAAAAACATACGTACATGCATTGTATACGTTATTACTTATTGCCTATTGGCAATTGCCCATTAACGAAGGTGAACGTATGCGTTATTATTAAAAAATAATCGTAGAGCACTAGTGCACAATAGTCAATATTATATATTATACGAATAACAATTAGTAATAACTATTTACATACACTTATTGTCACAATATAATAAAATATCGTGAAATATTCTGTTAATTCTGGCGTACGAGAGCATAAACTTTTGAACAACATTAATTCAATATTTTATTATTCTATTGTGCGATGATGATTATATTGTTGGACGCGAGAAATGAATAAATAATAGAATTAACTATTATAATACGTAATTAGTTACTACTAAACAGTGAGATCATTCGGAGAAGAGCAAAGACGCGCAAGCACGCATATTGGTTAGTCAGTATATACTAATTAAGAAATATTATATACCTACAGATTATTCAACGCTAAAAACATTGATAAATAATATCTATCAAATATGGAATATATTTTTTTTTAAAACATAAAAATTAAAATAGCCGTTTAAATGAAATCCTGTACCTATATAACGATTTTTAATTGTTTAACTTTATAAAGGTGTTTTTTTTAGCGGTCTCACACAGGTTTCAATGGAACTTATCTTCGCAGTTAATGAAGAACGGATGTTAATGCCGACCGTTATCTTCGAATGCAATTTTATAAGGGTGAATCGGATCAAAAAACTTTATTGTAATTTGTAGCGCATTTATATGGTAAATAACGAGACGTGTGAAGCAGTGTATTACGGGTTTATTGTCGCCTGTCGTATGTATATATAGACGTATATAGGGACAAACGACCGTTACCTATATATTATACATTATACATACGTGATATATTATGATAATATATAACCTATCCGTTGTCAAATTTAAGAGCGTTATTTGTTATGCGTTTGCGAGGAATATCTGTCGAAACGATTTTTCACTATACAAGTATACAATAGTTAAATGATGCGACAGCAAATACGATACAGATACTCTCTTCACCGTTGAAAATAATATGACGAAGTAGTGTTTTGACGGGGATCTAACGGATATAATATAATATTAACAATGTAATATAGACGACGTCGAAATACCGACACGACCACGACGTCAACAACAGTTTGTCCAGCGGTATATATGCGGGTAGAATATTATTATTATTCCGCTCGTATAATATTTTATGTTCTCGAATTACCCTCAGCGTGTTGCATTCGACTTGAGCGAGACCGATCGAAAATACGATCGCGAAATAAATCCGGCCTGCAGCTTTTTTTTATACCCCCAACGACGGCAAAAAAAAAACCGAAATTAAAAAGAAACGCGATCCGCCGAGCGCATAAAACGTGTGCCTGTCTAAACGAATTAAACTCGACTGAGCGCGGGCGGTTGCAGCTAAAAAAAAAATAAGAAATTGTTTGACATTGTGTGTCCACATTTAGGGTAGACGGAGATTTTAAGTCATGTATTTTCGTAGGCGGAGACAATTTTGAAGATCTTTTAATTATTTAACAAATATGTTATGATGTTTGGGCGATATGCAGGATACGGTATTTGTTTATGGACTAAAAATGGGTAACTGTATTTTTGAGGTGGTTTCAAATGAATTTATGTATTTTCTGATGTCAACACAAAATGACAACAAGATAAAAAAGATAAATAATATATTATATTAAAGTATGATATTATGTTTCATATTTTTTTTGTGAAAACTGAGAATTTGATATTGGTTATATACTAATAAAATATAGTACATATATATACAATATATTAAACGGGAAAACATATCAGGGAGCAATAGCTGTCCCTCCTTCTTAAAATACGCCCCTGGCAGGCGGTCGACAATAATTTATGTTTTCAATTCTTTGCTAAGATGTACTACATACAGAGGCGTGTTCAGGAATGTGCTATTGGAGGGAGGGCATATTATTTTTATAGATTCAAAGAATGAAAGTAGGTAATTGTACATGTTTAAAATATACAAGATAATTTAAATACTATACTATACGTCCTGTATACTCTGTGACATGCATATTTATATAATACATGACATAGATATTATATTATAGTAGTTCTAGGATAAATCATAGATAAACAGTGTAGCCAAAATAGAAAACAATTTCAAATTGTATTTTATATAAAATAAAATCGGATACAGAGAATTATACATGCCATGTTATTAATTAATGGTGGGGGGTCAAAATCCACTTGCCGTGAACCAACCACTCCCCTCATAATGACATATCAATTTTAAATTGTTATTTTCCCAAATAATATAGATCATAATTATTATATAATAATATAATAATATGTGTATAGAGCTACCGATTAACTGATCATGACGACGGTCGTGCAATGTGTGTTTGGTGAAATAATAATAATAATAATAATATCATCGTATTATGTAGTTATAACTTAAAAGGGATAATCATCATCGTCATGATATAGTTTATTATCACTCTCACCCAGCTGGCAACGCCGTGTACGTAGCAGCGGCGGCGGCCGCCGGGTTGGCCATCTGATTGTTGGCGGCTGCAGCCGCCGCGTTGTACGCTCTGGCCGCTGCGGCCGTGTACGTGGCGGCGGCAACGTAGGACGCCTGTTGCGCTTGGGCCACCGCTGCGGCGGACGACAACGCAGGAGTCCCTTGGGCTGCGGCTGCGGCCTTAAGTAGGGGCGACGCGGCTGCTGCTGCGGCAGCTACCTGTTTTTGGAACGATTAGTAAAACAAAAATTCGTTACATATACAAAAAAAAAAATGCAGGCACATTATCACACGTGGACGCGTTATACCGGAATCAATCAAGCATTATATTATTATTATTATTATTATATTATTCTTGTTGTTGTATATATATATATATATATATATAGTATAATATAAAAATATTTAATTTACTTATAATAGTGAAAAACAAATATATAACGATTATATAGACATAATAATATATAATATATATATATATATATATAACGTTGAGTAATATTATTGCTTTTATGACTTTAAGTTGCGCTTTTCCATTATTACTTTTAATAGAAGTTTCACCCCTAAACCACCGATATACCAGCGTCAAAAAAAAAAAAAAAAAAATTAAATTAAGTAATTAAGTCCGCCTGTAAGTATTTAGTATATATATATAATATTCATCAACACAAAATTGGATAAGAATTGAATATAGGTAATATGCATGTCATAATAATTTAAAAAATACATACATTTTTAAAACAAAACAATATTAATTCAATAATATAAATTTACCGCGATGCAATAACAATTACATACACTATAGGCAAGTTAATAAATGAGTGAGAATATTATGTATTAATCAATAGAAAATCACGAGGTGTAAGCCACACTGTATAATAATATATCAGTGTATATAATATAACAATAATAATAAACAGTAAGAGAGCGGTGGAAATGTATAAATTTATAACTTGCCCAGTACAGTGTAGTCGAATATAAAATAACCTCTAAATACTTGTGATATTAGAGATGTAAGATAATAATATACGGTTTCGGTTAATCAAGACGAAAAAAAAATCAAAAATAAATAAAACGATTGTCCACAATCAGGCACCTCATCTACATTTAAATGTATATTATGTATGCGAAATGCCTCTAAACATATAGAAATTGGCGAAGTCCGTGCGTTAAAACAATACATATAACATATTTCATTAATGATTATGAATTATGTTATAATTCCTACAGTTAGAGTAAACGGAACAAAACAGAAAAAAAAAATAGAAACAATAATAATAAATTCGTATATATATATTTATAGATTTATAATATTATGAATAAAAATTATTTGAAAACCGTCTAAAATATATATATAATATGTGAATACACACAAACATTTTTAAAAAAAAAACCACTATGAACCATTTCACATGCAACAGTTAGCTGTACGTTCAGCTAATATGTGGCATATCACCCTAAAATGTTCCGTTTAATAATATTATGATAGATAGCAGTACATTTCTAGCAACACAAATAAATGATAAGACACATAATTATGTATATATATATAATACAAATATATATATATATATATATATATATATATATATATAATATACAAATATATAAATATATAAATATAAATATATTTTCAACAAAGGCTAGTATAGTATATTAAGATGTATTATTATATATTATTATAATGCCCAAATTTGAAATTTTTATTTTCTCAGTGAAACGCTACAAGCATAGCTTTTCGTCTACATAATATTTCCCCAACAAAACAGCCAATACACAATATATATATATGTAAGGAGAAAGAAATAACAGGCAACCCAAAAAAAAATAAAAAATAAAAAAATAAAAATACAATATACATATACACATAATAGTAATTAAGTGTATGTATATATTTGTTGTAGGTACATTATTTAGGTTATAAAAACGACTAATAATCAACAAATTTGTTTTCCTTGTACAAATATAGATACGATAAAAAAATTGTTAAACATACTATATAATTCAACCTGTATAATAGTTAGCAAGTGAGTTTGTGCTCGTATATATATATTTTTTTGTCACATGCAATTTTTTTATTATTATTATTTTTTACTTTTTTTTTTTTAATAATAGGCCATTTCAATATATAAAAAATTTCACAAACGATTCCGCCACCGAAAAATAAATAAATAAACACTAAATATGTTGCACAGTCTTATACCAATCAAAGTCTAACGTAGAAATTAAATACTCAACTGATGCCATTTACCACTTCGGGGTAGCGACACATTTCCACATTAATCGTGTTGTTTGAATTATTTATGAATATCATTTTTCACCCTTTCACTCTATAGACTAACAATATATTAGTGTAAACATTTAAAAGTGTACACGTCATATACATCATATTACGTCGTATTTAAACATAACTAAGTAAATGGATTATATATATATGATTTGGTAAAAGGGTGTGTATATTATAATAGTGCTTGCTATTATTGTTGTAGACATAATATTATATGTACTTCAATAAATTGTCGAAATAAGACAAAACGATCGAAACGCATAAAATACCCATCACTATAATATATACCTAATAATATAACACGTATGTACTATGTGTATGAGTGTGTGTGTCATTAATGTTCATAAATGCTATTGATTCTAAAATCAGGCAACAAATGCCTAATGTTCTAAAAAAAATAAAAATAAAAATCACAGGAATCAAAGACTGTGCAAAAATTCAAATATATGTAACGTAGTGTTAATAATAAATAATGATTAGCGCTCTATATATGTAACCGATTAGTACAAACTTTCAGGAAAATTCCGAATAACAGAATTTGGTGTTAATAAAATTAATATAATATAGGTATGTACAAATATTACTTTGTAACCGCATATAATAAAATATAAAATATTGATCAAGACACTGATTTCTCAGTGCATCTACATTATAGAAGCGGTGATGTCAAGAAAAAAAAGGCCGGCCATGCCATTCGTCATGTTTTTTTTCGTATATAAAACTCACGTCATATTTCCCTTTTCCAGCCTTTGTAATCCGTTACACATAAGATTTTTTCTAAAACGAATTTCAAGAATGACGATTGGAATGAATTGAGCAAATTGTTCATGTTCAAATATAGAATAGGAACGCAAGTTTTTTTTTTTTTTTTTTGATATTGTAATTTAATGCAATTAAAAATAATAAGAGAGATGAAGAATAAGAACTTTGTATAGGATAGGAATAGTTTGTGATTATACTATATGAATCGTCATTTACCTCATTGACTGCTCCTGCCTGAAAAAAAATACCAACACCAGTTCAACTAATTCTCAATTCATTTATCGGGTCACCTTTTCATAATCAATATAATACGCCTTAAAACACAGTTTGGACGCGAAACACGTTATTATTTGTGAGTTCTTAACCAACCACACTTGAATATAAATCGAATTAAAACAAATGAAAACAATTGTTTTACAAAGTGGAGAGAGAAACCCGACTTAAAAAAAATATTGTATAACCACCCATTTTTGTCGACTAGTAAGTATAAATTATAATGTATTATAAATTTAACATGGTAGGTACTTAGTGTTTTTTTTTGTAAAATATTTAATACATTCATTAATGATTAATATAAAATAAAGAAAGTATAAATAATACAAAAAATATTACCTGTAACCTGTAGTTATTGTCTGCAGCTTGAGCTGCCAGGAATGGATCATAGTACACTCCACTGAAACACATTTTACTGGTGGTAAGAATGAAAAGCCGTAAACATTGTTTACAGTTTTTCTCGATATTTTTCAATAATATGTAATACTAATAAGTAATTTATAAATAATATATAATTAGGTCTAGTATACTTCAAACAAATATATTTAAATTTAATAATCGATTTGAAGCACATAAATGATTAATAAAACTAAATGGTTAAAAAGTACTTAATAGCATATGAATAAAGTATGTATTACATTATTACGTTATAGATTTAAATACTAAAGATCACTTTTGAAAACTTTAAATTATTTCATAATAAATATATATTATGTCTGATTAGTGATTTGTTTCTCAATATTATGATCAGGGCTCGTAGCATTTTTTTTCTTCATATTTTGAAGTTTTGATGCTATTTTTATATTTTTATTACTAAGTATTTATGCTTATATTGTCTTTTGAAAGTAGAAAAATAGATTGTTTTTTTTTCAGTGTTAATATTTTCTATCAGTTAATATTCATATAATAATGTGTCATACAAATATGAGATTGATGAGTTGCCGTTTAGGTGTTAGGTAATTCCGTTGATAAATAGGCCCCTTTATATATTAACACGTGGCACGTGCTATCTTGTTTTGTAGTAATCAAACAAATTACTCAATACACCATTTTATATTTTCAGTCATTCTCGATTTTAATAAAAAAAATATTAGATGTCTTATTAATTTGTTTTTTCACATTCGATACATTTTTCTGCATATTTTAGCATTTTCAGTGTATGTTATAGCGCTATATGAATGATTTTAAGAGAATACTATTGTGCTTATAATAACTGTTTTAGAGCTTCAAGTCACGATACCTGATTATGATGATTATACTTTATACTGTTATTAAAATGATACCTATTCTCATCATGACATGTTTGTGATAAATAAATTATTATTGTGTAAAATAAATATAGATTGTAAGTTTTTCTTTCAATAAAAAAAAAAAAGTTCCCACTTTGATATTCAAGTATCAAATAATTATGAAAATAAATTTCTAGAAATGTATATGTTAACAATAAAATAGGCAATATAGAATTTATTATTTATAATTATTTAGATTAAATACGAAAATTGAATCAATGTAAAATAAATTAATATTTTTACTCTCCCTACACATAACTTTGTCAAATAAAAATAAATTATAAATACTTTCATTCGTTTATAATTTATGGATACATACATTTTCAGGATAATATTTCCTATATTATTAAAATAATGAATTAAAAACCTTGTTCGTCACAATTGAGTAGCTGGACATAATATATTATTTACTATTTAGGCCTTTATTAATAATATAATTTTAGATAATTTTATATAATACTTTATTAATATATAAAAATATAATTTAAGTATTATGTAAAAAAAAGTCGAGATTAAACCGGTTTTACAGTATAGGATGAGAATTTAAAATTTAAGAATTTTTTTTATGTTCATGTGTGTGCAACGTTATACGAAACCAAAATTACTACACGTAAGTGTATGGTGAGTGTATACATATTATTATAATTCTATGCCTAACTGGTTATCTGAAATATCTGTGTATTTTCATAACTTGCAAAACCAGTTATTTCGAATGCAAGTCACTACGATGAACGTTGAAAAATACCTAATCAATGGTATTGTAATACAAAATAAAATTGAATTAGGTTATTAAACATTTATTGCCCAAGGATGGTTCACAGAAATAGTAGTTATGCGAATATAAAATTCCTGATGTTATCAATATTTCAAGATTAATACCACTATGCCACAAACCAAAATACAACAAATAATATTAATTAAGACTCACGGGATAATTAATTAATATTATGTACTTTTCTGCAAGAGACCGTAAATCTTTAGTTATTATTTAACAGAAAATGAAATGATTATATTTTTATGTTAATAAATAAACTAGTAAAAATAAGGAAATGTGAAACAAACTAATTCGTTTAGTTTCACACCAGTATAATAAATAATAATATTATCACATTCAAATACATAAAATTATAAATAATTATTATTGTTTGAAGATTAACTCTATATAACACTATATTATATAGCTTATTAAGTGTATAAGACATATTGGAATGGAATTTAACACTAACGCTCAATAAATAAAGTTGATTTTAGTATAGAAATACGTAAATGACCATCGTTTTAATCATTCACAATGATTATAATGAGGTAGGTATAACTAAAATGATGCAATCGCCGGCGGAGATTAATCGAAAGATTGTAATAGTAATAATTACTAGAGGTATGCGATAAAAAGATCCATACATTTTTTTTTCTAAAATAAGTATATTTTTTGTTAGTTTTTAAATTTCTACACGATGACTTGAAAAAACGAATCACATTAGTTTAGTAATCATCATTAGTAACACTTTCATAGTTTCATCTAAGAAATGTTACTAATAAGTAGAGGGCGCTATTTTCTTTCGAGACAACTGGGAAGATTCTCAACTGGGTATAGTTGGTGCATACAAGTGGATTTTGATGATTTTTAAGAGTGAGAGGTGGTATCGATGATTCTAGACGGATGGTTGTATATTTTGTATAGTTTGCATGGATTATTCAAATGGATAGTGTGGTATGTGACATAATATAAGGAGCGTTTGTGAATATACGAAGTTAAATAATCAAATAAGAAATTAAAATCCCGGGAAATTGGTAGGGATACGTTGAATATAGTATTTATCTAGAAGATGATCGAATATAAATTTTACGCAGTGGCCAAGGCAATTAAAACAACTATAGCACAATGGTTGGCGGTATAGTAACTGCAAGAATCAAGGAGTCACATTAGTAATTACTAATTAAATAGTCGGTAATTATCATAGTATATAATCGTAATTAAATATTTTGCATTTTTTTTCAAAGTCACTTTCAAATTGTAATTACTAATACACCAGTTTAATATTTAAAAGCAATAATTTATTCTTTTGTAATTCTATAACCAATTTGTCGGTTTTGTTTCCTGTTTTATTTGCTAAAACATTGTGATATGAAAAAAAAAATTAATTTTCAAATTAGTAACGTAAATCGTTCATTGTATGTTTATTATGTCCAGCTCTAAAACGTTTTCGTTAATCAATCAAATAACAGTTAACCTAAAGTCGTATACCACCGATGAAAAAAGGGGGAAATGCATTAAATGCACAGCTCTTCTCATCGCGTTATATACTATATAGTGATTCGAAGACTGCAAATTATATGGTCACTATAGTGTTTACGGCCACGTGATTTTATACTATAGGAGGATAACGTGGTAATAGAAAAAAAAAGTTCGGACCGCCACAAAGTTGACGACCGCACTATTTTATAACATTGGCAGTTAACGTATTATTAATAGATATATGTAAGAAACTTATAAAAGTAGGAATGTTTTAGTACTCACGGAGCGTAAGTACCGGGAGCCGAGTTGATGGCCTGTAACGGGTTGGGCGTGACGGCAATGCTGGTCGCCGGCAGTCTGGCGGTGTTGAATCCTGGATTGCCAACCGACGGGAACCCGCCGTTGGATGCCGCGGCCACTGCAGCCATCGCGGCCGCGTTCCTGACGGCATTCGCGGCCGCCACGGCTCGTCCACGTTGTATAGCTGCCCCTCTAAGTGCTGCGGCGGCGGCTGATGAAATAAAAAAAAAATACCGCGTGTGCGCGATGACGTTGTAATTAGAATAATGATATTATTTCGGTTTTACGTTTGTTTCCCCTGTGCCCGCGTCCCATCAAAAGCGTTCTTATATTATTATTATATACGTATGGCAATTTATCGAGCACGCTCACCGCGTTTACAACATGATCTTATCTTAAGCGACTATAACTTCATTGGAATTCATATTTCTTAGAATCTTTAACCACAGTCTATATTATTAAGAGGATGTCAGCGCACTGGTGGTTTCCTCACTCTTTCTCTCTTTATCTCCACGACAAAACATATTCACACAATATCATTTATTGTTTTTGTTTTTGAGTAAAATCACTCATGATAAAAACTATAGAGAATAATATTTTTGAGGGTATCACATAATATCTAGTTGACTAAATATTGTAGCAAAACAATTTAATATCCATTTTAATTTACATTTAAAGTCAAATAATAATAAAATATAAAACCAATAAGTCTAAACCTCAAAAAATATTATTTTCTATATATTTTTCAATAGGTGATAATTTCTCTTTTAGGTAACTCAAATATCAATAAAATAAACACGATTTTGCGTCAATGCGTCTTATAAATGTATCGCTTGTGTCTGAGAGAAAACTAATATTTGCAGCAGAAGTGCAAATATTCTCTAATGACCAGGGCTCATAACTTCTAACAATTGAATATTTTATTTGATAGAGATGCCTATGTAAGTTAAACATTTATTTCAGAAAACCAAGCAGCTAAATACAAAATTGTATTTTGAATATTTTTTGCATAGGTATTTCAAAATTTAAATTCTATTTTGTTTTTTTTTGGATTCATTTCAGTACTGTAGCCTTTAAAACATATAAGTGTACCTACTACAACACAATAAAAATTATAATGTGAAATTTTTAAAAAAATTTTACCTATTTTTTGCATATTTTGATATTTTAATGTATATTTAAGAGCTTATATATGGATGTTTTAATGAGCATTTTATTGCATTACAAAAACTTTTTTTAGAGCCATGAGTTATAGCCTTATAGCCTTACAAATCGAACCATTTGTGTTCGAAAATTTAGATTGTTGAACACTTATTTATGCTAACTATTATAAAAACGACAACTATCTCCGTCTTCAAAGAGCGTAACATTGTCACGTGTAAATTCATTAGTTAAAAATTAAAATTAATCTACCTATTACGAAACTTAATGGTAACAACATTACCTGTGTTCGTATGTCGGCTTTTTTTTATGATGATTTGTTTTTTAAGCAAGCTACAAAACATTTTTAAGCTACGTTATGTACGAAAAATGTTCAAACAAATCGAATTCCTGTAAAAAACCCGACAGAGCTGGTTAGGTTAGGTTAGGAACACAGGTAATGTTCTTATCATTAAGTTTTGTAGAAGGGTCGATTCACTCACATTTTTAAACTAATGAAGCTAAACATTAACTGCTAAGCATAATTTTGCTTTGTATATGCACTAACGCACTTGTAAGACGGAGACAATAAATGCGCGAATGTGGTGTTATCTTCTTGGATAATCTATAGAATCAAGATAATAATTTACTCAAATATTTAATAGACTAATCCTTAGTACATAATAAGAAGTCAGAACCGTTCAAATGTTAACTTCTGTAATAAATCAAAATGTTTAAAAAAAAATAATAATTTACTAAACGAGAATACCAATAGGTTGGTTTGAATAAAAAAGTTTGTACCGCCTCACAGTGGTCGGAAACGTAATCTAGCTTGCCTAAATTAAAATTTAAGATTGTGTAATATACCAATTATGACATAAATCATTATCGACTGTATATTAATTAGTGATAAAATGATGATTATGATAAATTTAGATATTTAAAACCTTGTTGAATTCCCACATCAGCGTTTACAATATATGAGATTGAGGGTATAATGTTATTATTAAGTTCACTTTATCTTGTCACGTGGTACTAAGTAAACACGCCATAGATTTGATTTTTTTTCTTTCGATATTTATTATGGATACTAATTGAAAGACGTAAGTACATTTTTAGAAGTTATAAAAATGTATATATATATATATTTTTTTTCAAATTTGAAAATTTCCGATTTTTCAATATTTTTTTTTAATTTAAAGGATAGTTTTAAAAATGTATTCATTTTTATAATTTGACAATACATACAAATCATAGCTTAACCTAAGGGCTACACAGGTCAAAAAAAAAAAATTGCGTCTATTTGCGTCAGTGCTTAAATTTAGAGCAATACAAAATTATAAATTTATAAATTATAAAAGGATAAATTATTCAAAATTATTCAAAATTTCCAAAAATTAAATTCCAAAAAAATGTTTATTGTATTTTCAAATTGACCTCTGTATACAGATAATTGTGAAAAAAACCACATTAAAAAATATTGATTTTCTTCGGAAATATTAATTTAGGCAAGCTAGATTACGTTTCCGACCACTGTGCGCCACACCTAATTACTATAAAAATGTATATAAGTATTTTAAATACGGTCTTCAATATGGTGTAAGTACTTAAAAATTCTAAAAATAAAAATAAATACAACATTTAAGCATTAAAACGGAGTGGAGGTGCTCAAAAAATTGCCTTGTACCTATATATTGTTATTTTATTATTATCCTTTACTCATATAGAATATGTAATTGAATACAAATACTGTAATGCAATTTTTATCGTTAAAATAGAGAAAATGTACTGCAATTTTTTTCCGCGATAAACATACATATATTATTATACTGTACATGTTAGTAAAAATTCGTATATCATGCTGTTTAATCTAAAACACTAAATAAGCAATTTAACTTTTAAGAAATTCTAAACGAACAGTCATTGAAAAATAAGTACTAATTATCTAAATGTTAGTTAGATCATGCACATCATACTACGTTTAAATTTTACATTGCACTGGCAGTTTACTTACCCTCAGGCCACTGAACACAAACTGCAAACCACAATAAGAACAAACCAAATGTTAGCCAATACATAATTAATTTACCATACATACAATATTATACATATAATTTAGTGCAACTACTTAAAGCGTAATTTAAAAAAAGTTTACAAAAGCTTGTGCTTATAAAGTTCCCAGAAAACCAATTGTAATTCGTGAAACAACTAGATACATCAAATACTTGTATCTTATGTTTTAAGAAACTTTTAGCTATAATTGTGTAACTAAATATAGGTATTACAAACAGTGGCGTATCAGGGGGGGGGGGCGAGAATGGGTACATCCCTCCTAAACACAAGAAGTTTTTTTTAGCATAATTCACATTTATTTTATTTTGTTTTTAGGTTTGTAATGGTTTTAAAATGAGGTATTTAATAACTTGGGCCCACCTACCAAAAATGTTTCATATGATATACGCCACTGATTACAAGTTAAAAGAAGCACAATTAATGTAACATAATATTATGAACCCCAACATAAAATAAAACCGAGACGTGTTCAAAAATAATAAAATGGTCACATAAATAGCATGCTCCTTATATAATGAAAATCAACGAGTAAGTAAAACAATATTTAAGCATGAAATACGTCAAAGTATGGTCAATGTTTTGGAAACATGCACTAATTTTTGCAAACAGTTTCTCACCAAGGTTCGGCAATACTCCGTTTCTAGAGAGTAATACTATTGAAATCAACCAAAACACATAACAAAATGTAAATACCATATTGAAAAACTATATGAATTATACCTTGGAAGTTATAAATCCCAAGATCACACTATTATCTACCTTATATAGAGACAAACTAAACACGGTACATATACTTAATGAAAAACACCTACAGATAATCTAAAGCCATTATACGTGTTTTGAATTCTCAACTCGAGACACGATCCAAATAATATCTGATATATTTGAAATTGGAATCTTAACATATATATATTATTTTCTATTAGCATCGAAAAAAATTATCAAATATATTGCCAAATGCCCAAATGAATATGTTTATAAGCAAACAATAGTGAAGAAAGCCATTTTAGTGAGTACTTTATGTACATAATATTGATCTATATATTATGATTTTATGTGTATAATAAACCTTACATATATATATGCTTATAAATAAAAGTATATTATTTATAATATACTCGCCACATCAAAAATTATAAAAAAAAATAAAAAAAAAAAATACTAACCATTCGGTAATTGCAAAGGAGCAGCTACTTTTTTAGTCTGCACTCTAGCTGTTGCATTGTTCACCTAAAATTTTAAAAGAAATTCAAATATTTTGAATATTTATGAAGTACCTATACAAAATAATTTTAATACACATTTTAATACAAATTAATTATAATTATAACTTAAATCTTATAATATTACAATACGACAAATCTGACTTAAAACTATTACATACACGTTATGCGACAATGAAATTGAAATTTAGAAAATTACAAAAAATAGTAAAGTAGTAAAGGTAAATTATATTTTCAGAATTTCAATTTCATTATTAACAAATTTGTCGGACATCATATATATTTATACATAATTAACGCCGAAAACGTGATTTTTCGTATAGTACATATATAATATATGAAATCGTGACTAGTCTACAGCATACTTACTCGTCGTCAACGACATAATAAAATTGGTATATTCGTCCCAGGGAAGTGGCGCGTCTGGATAAATTCACCCGATCAGCAAAGAAATGTCAAATAATCTGACACTTTGAAACACAGAAAAGAAACGCTTGACACGAGACCTCTAAATCACGCTTGTAACCTACAATCAATACTAGCCTTCGGAAACACGTAATAGTCAGAATATGTTGTAGAATGTGAAAGTGTATAAATAAAAGTATAGGGATTTTATTATTTTTATTTATTGTTTTTCGACATTACGTCTTAAATAGGAACGATGAAGTGTTTGTAATCAAGGAACTATAGACACATTCAAAGAGGAATAAGACAAGAGAAAATGTATTTTACAGCCAGGCCCATATAGTCGTGACTGAAGCATCATGCAAATTATCATTCAATTACAATCGAGCATCTTGATACATGGAAGGATTTACAATAATATTTTATCATTGCAAATTTCAAGAATAACATAATGCAACATATTTTCCTTTCAAATTAACTACGCTAAAAAAAGTAAAATTACCTAAAACAAAAATATGATCGAATAATGCTGGTGGTAATAGGTAATAACAAATCACTATATATAAGTATCCATACTTCGGAGTCGAACATTCACAAACTGAGTGCCAACAAAATAAACTGTGAAACCTTTCAAAGGAAATAATTTAGAAGTCTGAAGCTTCAGAATTATCTAGGTACCTAACAAACAAATAACAAATATTCGTTCACACACATCTCAGTCCCAATACAAATAAAACATTTTCTTTTCATTTTTCGCATGCACATTTTCATTAATATTACTACACATTTTTCAGGTTAACAAAAATAATAGTAGCATTGAATCTTGTAAATTGAACATCCTAGTAAAATATGAATAAATTAATAAGAATTACTTAAATTTGACATTACTTTGCTGAATAAAATTTCATTTAGACAAATTTAACTTTTAATGACAACTTTGTTGTATTATGTAAATGAAATACACGATGATCATAGAATTTAAATACTCATTGTATATTTTTTAACCTATTGTATAAATCCTTCCTAACTATCACCATCTAACCAACAATAGCAATTTAACTGTGGCCAATATTAGGTCAAATATTACAAAAAAGTTTGGATAGTAGAAGACACGCGACAGTAGTTTCTATGCTGATTTTTGTCAATAAATTAGTGGTTACTTAATTTTAGCATCAGTATTCAATATAAAATTATTAGCCAAATGTTAAACAATATACAAGTGATACATACAATGTATGTAGCAATAGGCATGTTTCAAAGCAATAAACCTAATTAGTAAAATGATAAATACATAGTAAATATAAAAAAGATCATGATCTGCATACAAGTTACATGAATGTTAATGAAGTATTTTGAAATAAATAAAATATGAACAATAAAATATTTTTCAATTAAAAAATTAAGTTTAAAATAGCATTATGATATATTATAAAAATTTAAATAATCGTCCAAAATATTAGTTACAGAGATTATTTCTTAACCTATTTTCATTGATTAAAATAGCATAGCCAACATGGATGAAACTAAATAATAAAAAAATCCCATTAATCCCAGATTTTCATCATTCATGTACTATCAATTGTTTTAGCGAATAAAAAGATAAAACATATTTAAAACCATTTATTATATTATATAGTAAGGTATCAAACTGATTGATATTCTTTAAACTATACAAATATTTTTTGTGTTTCAGGAAAGTATTGAAAACATCAAGCGCTAAAAAAAAAATAATAATAATAATAATAATAATAATAATAATAATAATAATAATAATAATAATAGATAATAATAATAGATAATAATAATGGTAATAGTAATAATGATTTAGAGTTTTTACAATGGTTTATAAACAATTAAGTTTCTACGTCGTGATTAGTCTTACTATGTAATAAGTGTAAACATATAAATTATAAGTAAAAATATAAGTATATATATATATATATAAATAGCATAAATATTTGCATGCAAACCTCTATTTTTCTGCCTTCAACAACTGTTCCGTGAAGATGTTCGCGAGCCTCATCAGCGTCAGCGCTATTCCCAAACGTTACAAAACCGAATCCCTGCATGCAACACACACAACAAAACACATGCAAATAAACAAACTCAACAGAAAATAAATTGTTTTATTATTATTACTAAGTAGTAAATTGAATTTTATGTATTTTTTAAATGTTTTTAATCTTATTCTTGTAGAATTCAGATGAAAATTATTTAGTTAAATTTGTTTGGGGAAAGCGAACATTTGACGTTCACAGTTAACACTATACAATAATAAAAATAAAAAATAGTACAGTAAATGCTAAGTTAGTCCAACATTCATTATGTATAGCGTTTCACAAGAAAGTGGAACTTTTAAGCGGTATACATTTTTATTAGCGTTATTGTGCTATTAATTACGTGTCAATGATAAACTAGTGTTAAGTAAAACATAAAATATTGCGCTACTTATAGCGTTGTGTGAATGCTCCCAAAAATTATCAGTTATGGATATGGAAAAATATGTAAAGAAAAGGATTTTATTTATTATTCAAATCTCAAGGTATAATGAAAATCTTTAATAGGTATTTTTGGTAACTCATATACTGAGTATTAAAACTATTATTTTGGTGATAAATTTTCCAGAACATATATACAAAGATAAATATACTTAAGTTTATATTATCAACTGACAATATTTAAATATTGATTTAAAAATTAAAACTGAAAGGAATTAACTATTTTAGAATATTATAATAATTATTAATAATTTAGTATTTATTTATAAACCCCCTAAGACAAAGTGGTATAATAATTGTTATATTTTTTTCTTTTTTTTTAAAGGAATTATATTCTTACAAAAAATAACCTATACCTACATTTATTTTTAAATTAATTGAATAATTTTATTATTAATTAGGTCAATGGATTATTTTAAGTTACTTAGCTGCCAACAAAGCGTGAATGGTTTATTATATTTAATCAAGATATACATTTTATAATATTTATAATATTTTATTGACTCCAATTAACCATAATTACCTTTGATCCACGCTCATTAAATATAATTTCAACATCTAGAATTGGTCCAAATTGCTGAAAACATAAATAACATAATATTAAAACCAAGAAAACTTCAATAATAGTTTTACATAGAAACTATACAAAATGTGTAATTAAAATAATTATAATAAATAAAAATGTTATTATGCAACAGTTGTTACTTGGGTTGGAATCTAGAAGCATTATTATTTTCAACATAACTTTTTAAAAGCTTATACATGATGGATATTTTTACAACAATACATGAATTTTGATGGTTAAGTTTTAGCAGTAATAGTAAATTTATTTCCCTCTATATTATATGTACTTAAGTAGGTTCATTTAATTTTAAGTATTCAGGATTTTTATGTTTTTATTTTTAAAATCTATGAGATTATGCAGCTTGAATTTAGTTAAGCCTTCTTTATTGTATTCTTCAATAAAATATTATACAAAACACTTTGCTCAATAGAAAATGCATACTTTGAGGTTAATAAGTAGTTAGTACAATAATATAATGTTTTAAAAGTAAATGGGTATGTTTTTCATGCATATTAAAAAAAATTGGAACATTTGTTTTATAGTTTGTGATTTCAGCAAGTTTCACCTGCAATTTATTGTAACTCGTTTTTTCTTCCAGAAAATATTGAAAGGATATTAGGATATAATATAACCATATTATATTCGGTGATAGATAATATGATATAATATATTAATACAATACGTAATGTAAAAATTACCACATAACGTATTTTTTTCAAATCTTTCAAAAGTAACAAAAATTATAAAAAAAAAAATGTATTAAGTATAATACAATAATAACTCTATAATAATATTTGTAAGCAGTGATTACATAAACTATAATCACTAATAAGTAATAATTAAAAATTTTGATTAATTACAATTTTGAACTTAGGGACAATATAATATTTACTTGCAACTGTTGTTTATTTAAGTTAGGTTAGTTAACTCTTCTCAAAGTTTTTCTTTTTTTGACATCTTGTATAAATTACACAAAAAAATTTACATACACTATTTCCACTTACGTTGGTTGTCATTGACATTTTATGAGAAATTAAAGAAATACCTGTATACTGGCGTTTGCAGCATAAAACTAAAGAAACTTTTTTATTCAAAATTTTATTTGAGCAATGAGTAACCTAACTTTAGTACTTTACTTTAATCCATAATATTATGTTATTTTAATTTAAAATAGTTAGTTATTTAAATTCATAAATTTATTTTTTTCATTCATAAATCAAAAGATAATGAATATGATTCTCTTATATTAAATTGTGTTACCTTCAGGGGCGTCATTAGGGGAGGGGGATTAGGGGATAGATCCCTCCCCCCCCAAAAAAAAACTATTTTTTTACTGCTAACATTTTGATCAAAGTATTGATAATGACCATTCATGTTTGCTAAAAACGTATATACCCCCCTCCAAACCAAATTCCTAACTAGACTCTACCTTGACATAGTAAGTATATGTATACTTAATGTAAAGAATAAACTAAAATTTTTATTTGGGTTTCTCTGGACTTAATTGTGTTGTATAAGACATCTTACTCCTGAATATAATAATATTATGATGACATTTTAGATCTTATTGTTTTAACATTTTTAGTGCATAAAAATTCTGTCTCTAATCATTAGTTAATGTGATGAAGATTAAATTGAAATAAGTCTGTGTACAATAGAACACAAACAATATACCAATGTTAAGTCATTAATGTTTTATTTGTATAATAGAAATAAAGGGCATTATGAAGATAAAAGTTATGATATTGGATTTAAGTAAACATTCTCACACATAATTTTACATGAAAATATTAAACATATTTTAATGAGGCTACTATTAATAATACAATTATATTAATCAAACAAAATATTAATTAATTACCCCAAACATGGCACGCAAGTCAGGCTCTCTAAATCTAAAGGGTATATTTGATACATGAAGTCTCTTTGATTGGATATTTTTGTCTTCGCTAGATGAACAAGGGGACCCAGCGCCAACATTGGTAATGTTCGTTGGTGAGGCTACAGATACTGACACCGGTGTAGTCAACGCATTTGTGGCATTAGTACATTCCAACTATACATCACAAAAAAGAAAAAAAAAAGAATATATGACAAATGAACTAGCTGTTTTTGGATTATACAAAACAATATTACTAAGGCCACTACAGTGTGAGCGGAGAATGTTAGCAAATTGTCCAATTGACCGTAATATCAAACCTTAATCTGAATACTTACCGGTTGTGATACCGTAGTAACTGTGATTTGTTGTTGTTCAGACTTAGTTAATCCAACAGATTGTTGCTGCTGTTGTTGTTGCTGCTGCTGTTGCTGTTGCTGCTGCTGCTGTTGTTGTTGTTGTTGTTGTTGTTGTTGCTGCTGCTGCTGCTGTTGTTGTTGCTGCTGATGTTGCTGCTGATGCTGCTGTTGTTGTTGAGATGACGCCATGGACATGTTAAGCCCAGTCGGGGGTGAGTATGCAATAGGTGGCAGCGGTGGATCACTTTCTACAGCCACCTGTGGTGGAAGTGGAGCTGTATTTTGAGGTGCAGCCACTGTAGCCGGCATTAGAGTTGGTTGCTGGTGATTGGCCATTTTAAGCGTCATCGCAGCCATTTGTCCGGGTTGTTGCATAGGAAATGCACCAGACGCTGCCGCGAGTGATGCATATGGATCAATTCCCCCTTGAACCATTTGCTGTTAACATAATGTTTATTATTTTTTTTTTTTTTTAAAAAACAATAATATTGCAAATTATTTACATAATAATTAATATTTTGTATTGAGATTAAATACATAATTTTAAGTAAACAAGTTAAAGTAAGTTAAAACTAACTAAGCGTTCAATTTTAGAGGTCAGATATTTTAAAATATGGGATATCGAGTTTTTTTCATGAATGTTATTTTTTTTTTTTTTTTTTAAAGCCCGGCGACTATGGCCATTAGCTTGATTGTAGGGTTTATGATTGTAGGTAGTAGGGTTTGAAATTGTAGGGTTATTACACGTGTGTGTTGTGTTTGGCAGAATTTCTATTGGGGCACCAGTAGGTTTCTGCCATGCCCCGGAGTGGGGGATGGCGGCACTTGTTCTCCGGACACCGTGACTTGCCCGGAGAAAAATGCCGCCCAGTGGTCGAGAGAATCGAACCCGCGACCGCCAGCGCCGCAGACGACGTGTTCGACCGCTCGGCCACCTCGTCCCCCTCATGAATGTTAATTTGTTCATCAAAGATACCTATATAACAACCTTATGCGTTAAATACATTTCACACAAAATAAAATACGGACATCGGTGTTCAACGTCAGCATGGCCATGGGCCATGACTACTCAAAAATACGCCATGAACGGGTCAGAAGCCCTGCAAGTAAGTCCACGCGTGTTCTAGCAGCCCCCCCTCCCACTGGTCACCATAACGTAAATCTAAGTCAAAACATCGTAACATTAATCTAGGTTGATGGTGATATACAAACAAGAGTGTTACAACGTCATATCGAATTAAAAAATGATAAATAATATTTGTATGCTGACCCGTCAGCAAAAACAGTAACGTTCTAGACGTTTACACATAATAATATCGTACCTATCATAATATTTGTAACGCTAAGATGCAGCAAATCCATAAAATAACTCCTTACCGTCGTGAATCTACCGAAAACGAAATTCTAGATACTTTTTAATGACTGAAAAAACGACTGGACGACAGGTCGAGTAAGCACTATGCAACGGCATAGATAATATATGAGATAATATGACATCATCGTAATTAGTCATCATCATTATCATCGTACACCTGCAGTGATGTAAGTCGACAGTATTTACAGTGCCTGACCTCTATAGTGTATAATACACACCGTAATTTTGCTCGGAAACAGAACCAAGTAATAGTTTCAGGTCACATCTCGTGTATACGCAAAATCGCACGCGCCTTCAAGCGGCATCGATCGTGTGTATCCATCCGCGAGGGCAACAAGTAAAACAACATCATAATATTATTATAGTCGCATACCTAATTTATTTCTGTAAAATAGCCAATAGGTACGTGTACCTACGACACGTATAAACATGTTATATAATATCTTTGAGATAAGCTCGAAAGATAAGTGATCGGTGTAAATAATTGTGACAATTTTTTTTATTGTATACGAAGCGATATATTGGTAATAGGACGTGCTGTGTATAATTACGCAGCGGTTCATAATCCTTAATTTCATATAATATATTTTATCAATTTTATTATATAAAGATTCGAAATAGACAAAAATATTATAGAATTAAAACACCCTTTGAGATTAAAGATATACACTAACCCAACCACACGACGATACCCTACAAATGTTAAGGTATGCTATAACATAGATCAGGACGAATAAGTTGTTTGTAAAGAAGAATTTTATGGTTATAAATGTATAAGAGACTATATTATGAGAGATGTCTAAAATTATGAATTTTCAATATGAGGGATGTTGTATAGTGTTAATGTGATTTTATTTGTGATGTACGATCATTATTTAAATATGTTAATGTATAATTAATATATCGAATGTTAAACAAATCATTTTTTATTTTTATTTACTTATTAGAGCTTAAAGTTTAGATGGGTGGAGAAATAAACTACACGTTTTCGGTTGCTCTTTAGTACACATTGTTCCACTCATCCAAAACCTTTTTTTCTGTAATTCTTTTAACACAATAAGTAAATGAGTTGATGTTAGGTATATGAATATATTCATAACTATTTGTTCAATATTTGATATATAAATATATAATATTATATACATAGGTACGTTTTTTAAGAAAATATTATCATTCACGCCGTGGTTACATAAAAAAATTAAAAATGAACTAATTCTCATTTAATTTACAAAAATGTATTGCAAATCTCCCTTCTAAAAAATAAATACATATTCCGACGAAATAGTATATCATAGGTCCTGAGCAGTAAGTTACAAATTATAGGTGAAGGTTTGCACTCGCCCCTCGCCAACGATCATACCCATGAACAGTTTACCTAAACCGGCGTTATTTTACTTAATAACAGTAAAAACATACTGACAAATACTTTTTTTTCACTCTGTCTAACGCACGCGTTGGTCGGTCTGTTATGTCAGGCGGCCAATCATGTTTTTTGGCCCATCTTCGACGCAAAAAGAGCTCTGGTGCAATAGCATTTACTACAGCAGCTAACCCGCGGAGAGACGGAGCGGGCGCCACGGAATAAATAAATAAATAATTTTAACCATGGACGGGCCGATCTATGGGGGCCTCGAACGAATGAGTGGAACCGGAGCGTAGAAGAGGTGTAGAACGAGTATACATGCAGCGCGGGTTTCGGGCCAGCAACCAGTTTGAAACACAACGACGGAATACTAATTATTGCGGATATGTAATGATTATATATATATATGTATATAAAATATATGTTGTTTTAGGACGAGCTCGTATAGATACATACCGATGGGCTAAAAGCACGTGTGCGAGACTAGACCGGTAGTAGGTATATTAATACATTATATGTATATACATAGGCATCAAAGTTTCTCCAAAAAAATTACATAACTTCGATTTTTAAACGGAGAACTGGTATGGCGATGGCCATATTCGTGCGGTGCGTGAAAGCGGTAAGATATTCGTGACCAAAACGCGCGCGCGACCGAGGCTCTTCCCAAATACCCGCGCGCGTCTTGTGTGCTGCGACGACCTGTATTTTACATATTATTTCGCAACAATGCCGATTGATAAGGAAAAAATAGAAAAAGAAGAGAAAATAAAAAAACATCAATTGTTTCCCCCGGACGGACATTTAGTGCTTCGTCTGGAGTATACTCGTGCTATACCCTGTTCAAAATAAGAAGCGACCTGATTTACGCTTGAAAACCGGTTTTGCTAGTGGCCACCTGGTCACTTCTTATTTTGAACAGGGTATAAACAACAAGTGCGCGAGTGCGTGCGAACGCGCTTATGTAAACGCGTGTGTGTAGTGTTGTGTTGGTGTAGTGTACCTACTCGAAGGACTTGTCTATTTATTTTTCACATTTCGTCGTGTATATCATGAAAAAAAATATTTTATACAGAAGTCTAGTACATCATGCAGCAGAATTATTCACGGAGGGAAAATGCAAGGGGGCGGTGGGGGGGAGTTTGCCGGAGGGGGGAACACTCCGGTCTAATGAGGATGTACGCGGTGCATTGTGTAGTGCACCGGGGCCATTCGGAGGACGCGTCTGTCACGGTGGGGGATGACCATTGTTGTAATACTTCACCGACGACGTTGGACAAAAAAAAAATAAAATATAAATAATAAATATACACAATATTATAGGTACAGTAGAAAAAAAAAACAAATATTATATTATTATTCTTATTATATTGTAAAATGCTGCGGGCTCGTATATAAAATATTATGTATACAGCGTTTTTGTACCGCTCGACAAGTGGCTACATCCTATGAGAAAACGAGCCACATTACGCCGACGTGGACGGGCCCGTTTGTACATTGGGATGTTATTGAGTTAAATTGATGTTTATTGTCGTATATAGCCGCCGACAATAATAATAATAATATAAATGATTCGTCAGAAACGGACGCGAACGAGATAATAAACGCACGCGTAATACATAATCAACCCGTGCGGCGGCGGCGGCAGCGTTTGTGCGTGCGCGCGATTACAAAGCTTGGCAAACGCGTCCTGAAACGCTCGGAAGATTTTTTTTTTATAGCCGCACTAAATTTAGACAGAATTTATTGTTCGCGAGATTACAGAGCGGACTTCAAACGAGAGACCTGTTGAGGTGGTACATCAGGGCGCGGCGGCTTTGTTCCCGCATCGTTGTATCCAGTCGTAATGCTATGCCGCCGAAATCGCGGTACGTTATTATAATATTTTCCCGGAGCATTTTACATCGACCGCAGCGTAAAATCAGTCGGATTTCCCGTGACGAATCGAACGATATTTTTTCCCCTCTCTGATCGTATAGGTTATCATGTTATAGAGCTCATATCCAGCTGAACTTACTCGAATTCAGTCGTATATTCGCTCATTCTCGGCAATTCCGAATATACCTTATATAATATTATGTAGTATGAAATGTACGTTTTTAATGTTAATTCTTTCTCCACGTCACTCTAGGAGTACGAGACAGCGATGAACAAGGCAGTTGGGAAATTAATGTTCACTATTTCACCACTTATATACGTATAATCGTAGGGCCGTCAAAATAAAAAGCTGTAAAATATTGAGCAATTATATGTACACGAATTCCTCTTTACACATAGTCGTTTACACAAACAACTTTATAATTAAATAGACATTTTTCAAGCCGAATACATTGGCCAATGTCTATACTATTGTACATATAAAAGTAGTAAAAAACCCCAATGGGCTCACGTCAGACACCACTCCCTCCCATTGTACTAATATATTAAAAATTTACATTTATAAATACAATAAATTCGTACACGACTAAACGGATACATTATCATAATTTAATGGTTTAGAAATGAACATATCTAATGTCTATACAAATGTCTATATAAAATTATTGATTCGATTTTATACAGTTGATTAAAAAATGAAGCTAGAAAAAAGGTCCAAATTAGGTATTATCATTTATCAAGGCTGGGCATTAACGAGTTCAAAAGTTAAATTTAAGTTAAAAAGTTAATTTTATTATAACTTTTTAACTTAACTAGTTA